AATTTGCATTAAAAAGATTTACCATATGCTAAAAAATAGAAGCTGCTACACGTTTCTTTTATGAATTTATATAATTTGCATCATTACTTGATTTATGCGTGTACCAGAATATATTATGTTATTGGCGGCATTTTTAGTTTATACCAGATTAACGAAAAAGTCTCCGTTTCGGGGTTTTACTTTGGCCGCACTCTTTTAGGGACGTGTACCAAATAGAACTGTCATCCAAGGCATCATTTGCTTAGTTTAAGCTTTGCTATTCTAGAATATTGATATGATGAAAATTTAATAGTGATTTTAGCTTCAAATTTATGCATCTGAGTCTGCAACAGTTGTGTTAAAGCTTAGATATCATGCATTAGATATCTATGCATGCACAGCTAAAAATATTGCTACTTATAATGAAAGTGTCAAAAAAAATTCAAAATTTTGTTTCTCATGTTGATCCGTACTTGGACTTGTCTTACGATATAGTATGGCATATTTTGTATTAAGATTTGTACTTTCAAACTTATAAAATTCAATTAACGTAACATAAGAACTGAAGCTAGCTAACCATTAATCAGCTATTGTTAGGTGGTTCAATAATAGTTTTTGGATAACGCAGACTCACTATTTAAACCAAATAGTCAGATCTGGAGCAATAAATTTCCACAAAGAACCGTAGTCTATTACAATGATTAAAAGTCACTGTGTAATATGGCTTTTGTTCTAGAGGTGATAGAGGGCTGAATTTTTTGGAAATAATGAAGGTGTGATCCACTATCCACTATTCCGATTGCTACCACCATATGATTATCAAATCATTTTGATGTAAAAGTGAAGATCTGGGAGGACTGAACTGTTTGGAAATAATGAAGGTGTGACACAGATCCACTATTCCGATTGCTACCACCATATGATTATCAAATCATTTTGATGTAAAAGTGAAGATCTGGATTTAGATGATTTGTACTGCTATGAGAATGATACCACAGCTTTATAATATATACTCTCTTGGATTTGTTGTGAGGACCGAACTGTTTGGAAATAATGAAGGTGTGATATAGATCCATTATTCCAATTGCTACCACCATATGATAACCAAATCCTTTTCATGTAAAAGTGAAGATCTGAATTTGGATGATTTGTTTTGCTATCAGAAGGATACCACTATCTACATAATACATTAAGACCGAAAAGTTTTCGGAAATTCTCATTTAAAATTCGCGCGCTGTATATTTTTCGATATTTTAAGTTTATGTAGTTTGGCAGCAATTAAGGACAATTAATATGACAAAAATGAGCGCGATCTGTCAGACAGTTCGTTTACGGCAGCTGTTGAAACCAGTTCACCTCAGTAGTGCGTTGCGAAAAAAACAATGGAAAAAAATATTGAACAAAGGGTTTGCATCAAATTTTGTGTTTCGAACGAAATTTCGTGTGCAGAATCGTTGCGAATGCTACAAAAGGCTTATGGGGAATCAGTTTTATCGAAACCTCAAGTTTATGAGTGGTACAAAGCCTTTCAGGACGGTCGTACGACCGTCGAAGACATTTCGCAACGCACTACTGAGGTGAACTGGTTTCAACAGCTGCCGTAAACGAACTGTCTGACAGATCGCGCTCATTTTTGGCATAGTAATTAAGGACAGTGCTGCCAAACTACATAAACTTAAAATATCGAAAAATATACAGCGCGCGAATTTTAAATGAGAATTTCCGAAAACTTTTCAGTCTTAATGTATGTACTGTGTGATATGTAGACTGTGTAATTTTGCGGACGTGTGGTTTCATGTTTGAATGGCATGAATAGCATTCGAATTGTCAACACTGGACACTTTTATGTGAAGTTATGCAAAGAATTGTGTTTATGCGGACAATGCTCTAACTCTCGATAGAAGTTAGTTTATTACCAATATATCATCGAAAATTTTCTTATTAGAAAATTATTAGAATGATGCTGTATCTTACATCTAATGGCAAAACTTTTATTGAAGTAAAAAGTTAATCGAAATTCCAGTAGCAATACCTGCGAGCAGATAAAATCGATTGCTCAGTTTATTATTTATATTTAAATTCCCCTTGTTCGTAATAGAAACGTGTCTATGTTTATTTAGTTTTTTAGTTTGTTTTATTTATAAACTAAAATTAGCTCAAGTAAATTTTTTACAATTAATAAATTTAAAAGGCTTAAAAGATTATTAAAACAAAAAATACACAGACAGTGGGTAAGAAGTAAGAAAGTGTTTACGTATTTTGGCAATTGAAAAGAAAATTTGTCATTAATATCTAATGACCAATATTTTTTCTTATTGACGCTATTCTTTTGGTCTTTTTTTGTGGCTAGAATGTTCGATCTTTG